TTAGGAGAAATGGTGTTAGTTTTTGTCCATTGAGTATGATGTTGGCTGTGGGTTTGTTATATATGGCTTTGATTATGTTGAGGTATGATCCTTCTATTCCCACCTTGCTGACAGTTTTTATCAAAAATGGGTGCTGGATTTTGTCAAATACTTTTTCTGCATCAATTGATAGGACTATGTGGTTTTTTTCTTTCTATTTGTTTATGTGATGTATCACATTTATTGATTGGTGGATATTGTACCATCCTTGCATCCGTGGGATAAATCCTATTTGGTCATGGTGTATGATCTTTCTGATGTACTGCTGGGTCGATTTGCTAAGATTTTGTTGAGAATTTTGGCATCTATGCTCATGAGGGATATTGGCCTGTAATTCTCTTTCATTGTGTTGTCTTTCCCTGGTTTTGGTATTAGGGTGATGCTGGCTTCATAGAATGAGCTTGGTAGTATTCCTTCCTCTTGAATTTTTTGTAGTAGTCTGAGGAGGACAGGTTTTAGTTCTTCCTTGAATGTTTGGTAAAACTCCCCCATGAAGCCGTCTGGCCCCGGGCTTTTGTTTGCTGGGAGCTTTTTGATGACTGCTTCAATTTTTTCCATGATTATTGGCCTGTTGAGATTTTTAGAATCCTCTGGATTGAGTTTTGGAAGATTGTATTTTTCTAGGCATATGTCTATTTCCTCCATGTTGTCTAGTTTGTTGGAGTAGAATTGTTCATAGTATTCTTTAACAATCATTTCTATTTCTGTGGCATCTGTTGCTATTTCACCTCTATCATTTCTGATTTTGTTTATTTGGGTCCTCTCTCTTTGCTTCTTGGTGAGCCTGGCTAGAGGTTTGTCAATCTTGTTTATCCTTTCAAAGAACCAGCTCTTGCTTTCATTGATATACTGTATTGTTTTTTTGTCTCTATGTCATTTATTTCTGCTCTAATCTTTATTATCTCCTTTCTTCTGCTCACTCTGGGCTTTTCTTGTTGCTCTCTTTCTAATTCTTTGAGATGTAGAGTTAGATGATTTAGTATCATTTTTTCTTGTTTTTTGAGATAGGCCTGTAGAGCTATAAACTTGCCTCTCAGGACTGCTTTCATTGTGTCCCATAGGTTTTCGATTGTTGTGTTTTCATTGTCATTAATTTCCAGGATGTTTTTAATTTCTTCTTTGATCTCATTGGTAACCCAATCAATATTTAATAACATGCTATTTAGCTTCCTAGTGTGTGAGTATTTGGGGTTGTTTTTATTTTATTTTATTTCTAATATTATTCCATTGTGGTCTGAGAAGATGCTTGGTATGATTTCAATCTTCTTGAAATTGGGGAGACTTTGTTTGTACCCAATATGTGGTCTATTTTTGAAAATGTCCCATGAGCACTTGAGAAGAACATATATTCAGTGGCTTTTGGGTGAAATGTTCTGAAGATGTCAAATAGGTCCATCTGATCTAGTGAGTCGTTTAGGATTGCTGTTTCTTTGCCGATTTTTTTGTCTAGAGGATTTATCCAGTGATGTCAGTGGTGTATTAAAGTCCCCTACTATGATTGTATTGTTCTCGAACTCTCCCTTGATATCTTCCAGGAGATTTTTTATGTATTTTGGTGCTCCTGCATTGGGTGTATATATGTTTATCAAGGTTATATCTTCTTGTTTTATTGATCCCTTTAGTGTTATAAAGTGGCCTTCCTTATCTCTTGTTATGGCCTTCACTTTGAGGTCTATTTTGTCCGATATAAGTATTGCTACCCAGCTTTTTTTTCATTTCCATTGCCTGAAAGATCTTTTTCCATTCCTTTACTTTCAGTCTGTGTGAGTCCCTTATTCTGAGGTGGGTCTCTTATAGACAGCAAATATATGGTTCATGTTTTTTATCCATTCAGCCACTCGAAGTCTTTTGATTGGAGCATTTATTCCATTTATGTTTAAAGTTATTATTGAAAGGTCCTTGTTTGTAGCCATTTCTATTTTTTGTGCCTGTTTTCTTTCTGAGCTTTTTATTTCTTCTTTTTACACCAGTCCCTTTAGCATTTCTTGCATTGCTGGCTTGGTGGTGATAAACTCCCTTAGCCTTTTTTTGTCTGTGAAGCTTCTTATTTCCCCTTCAATTTTGAATGATAGCCTTGCTGGATAGAGTATTCTTGGCTTCAGTCCTTTGCTTTGCATCACTTTGTAAATTTCTGTCCATTCTTTTCTGTCCTGATGTGCTTCTGTTGAGAAATCATTTGATAATCTAATGGGAGATCCCTTGAATGTAACTTTCCGTCTCTCTCTTGCAGCCTTTATGATTCTCTCTTTGTCCTGAACGTTTGCCATGGTAATTATGATGTTTCTTGGTGTGGGTCTTTTCAGGTTCACCTTGTTTGGGACTCTCTGTGCTTGTGTGACTTTTTTCTTCGCCACCTCAGGGAAGTTTTCTGATATGATTTCTTCAAATAGGTTTTCTAACCCTTGTTCCTCTTTCTGTTGTTCCTGCACCCCTATTATTCATATGTTGTTTCATTTCATGTTGTCCCATAGCTCCTTTCTGCTCTCCTCCTGTCTTTTAATTTTTTTCTGCATTTGCAGTTCAGTTTGGGTGTGTTTTGCTTCCCTGTCTTCTAATTCGCTAATTCAGTCCTCCGCTTCTCCTAGTCTACTGTTGAAACTTTCAATGGTGTTTTTTATTGCAGCTATATCACTCTTCATTTCTTCTTGGTTCTTACATAAGTTATTGATTTTTTTTCATCCATTTCTTTTTTATTCTTACATAAGTTGTTGTTTTTTCATCTGTTTCTTCTTGATTCTTGCATAAGTTGTTGATTTTTTCCTCCATCCAGTTTATGCATTCTAGGATCCTTAATCTGAATTCTTTTTCTGTCATGCTGCATGCCTTTGTTTCACTTAGCTCCTTTCTGGCGAGTCCTTCTTTTCTTTCCTTTGAGGGTTTCTTTGTCTACCCATGGTTGTTCTCACTGACATATCTAGATGGTGAGTCGTTCAGGTCCTGCTCCTTGGGTGGCAGTGGCTCCTCGGCCTGTTGTTGTTCCTCAGGCAGTTGTGGTATCAGCTGCTCCTCAGTTGGCATCAGCTCCTCTGGTGGGTGCTGTTCACAGATGTGGTGGCTCCTCTGGCTAGTGGGGGGAGGCTTCACACAGCTGCTGTTCCTCAGACAGAGGGTGAGCTTTTCACGAGGCTGCTGTTCCTTGGATGGGGGTGGGCTACACACGCAGCTGCTACTCCTTGAACTGGGGCAGACTGCTCACATGGCTGCTGTTCCTTGAATGGGGGCTGGCTGCACGCTGCTGTTGTTCCTCTGATGTGGTGGGCTGGTTGTGGGGCTACTGCTCCTTGGACTTGGACAGGTTGATTGCAAGTCTGCTGCTCCTCCGATTGGGGTGGGCTGCACGCGTGGCTGCTCCTCCTCAGATGGGGACGTGTCACTCACCTGGCTGCTGCTCGTCATACAGGTGCAGGCTGTTGTGGCTCTGCTCCTCGGACCGGTGAGTGCTGCGTAGGGCTGCCGCTCCTCAGACGTGGGTGGTCTGCTCCTGTGGCTGCTGCTCCTCGGACCAGGGTGGGCTGCTGCTGCTCCTCGAATAGGGACAGGCCACTAGAAGAACTGCTACTCCTCAGATGGAGGCGGGCTGCTTACACAGCTGCTGTTCCTCGGATTGGGCAGGCTGCTTGTGTGGCTGCTGCTGCTTGGTCGAGGGCAAGATGCTTGTGCAGCTTCTGCTCCTCAGACTAGTGCAGGGTGCGGGCTGTGCGCAGCTGCTGCTCCTTGAATGGGGGCAGGCTGCACAGGGCTGCTGCTCCTCAGACATAGGTAGACTGCTCATGCAGCTGCTGCTCCTCGGACAGGTCGGACTGCTCGTGTGGTTGCTGCTCCTCAGACGGGGAAGCAGGCCACTCACACTGCAGCTGCTCCTTGGACAGGGGCAGGCCACATGAGGCTGCTGCTCTTAGGTCCAAGACAGGCTGCTCACAGGACTGAGACTCCCTGGACAAGAGCGTGCCGCTCACGTGTCTGCTGCTCACATGGTTGAAAAAATAATGTGAAAAGAAGTAGGAAATAAAGGAACAAACAAAAAAAAGTAGAACAAAGAAAAAAGGAAAAAAAAGAGCACCAAACAAAAAAAGGGGAGGAAACAAAAAAAAAAGAAAAAAAATGTTAACAAAATCATAATAAAAAATTAAAAATGAAAAATTGAAATGTCATTCCTTTGGCTGGCTTAAGATCCCAGTTTTCTGTAATGTCTGTGATTTTTTTGTTGTTGTTGTTCTAAAAATATTTTATTTTTATACTGATTTCAGAGAGGAAAGGAGAGGGAAATAGAAACCTCAATGATGAGGGAGAATCATCAATCACCTGCCTCCTGCACACTTCCCTACTGAGGATCGAGCCCACAACCCGGACATGTTCCATTACCAGGAATCAAACCCATATCTCCTGGTTCATGGGTCAACACTCAACCACTGAGCCACACCAGCTGGGAAAATTTTTTTCTTCAGTGACATTCTTTTTTTGTTAATCCTCACCTGAAGCTATTTTTCCATTTTAAGAGAGAGTGAAAGGGAGAGAGTGAGACAGAGAGAGAAAAAGAAACATTGATGTGAGAGAGACATATTGACTGGCTGCCTTTGCACACCGACCAGGGGTAGGAATCAAGCCTGCAACAAGATATGTGCCCTTGACCAGAATAGAATCTGGGACCCTTCAGTCCACAGGCCAACACTCTTTCCACTGAGCCAAACTGACTAGGGCAAAAATATTTTAAAATAAATAAACCCCTTGAGTTCCAGGACTTGAGCTTGAGTAAGGTCTCTCTATCCCCCAATTCTCCCGGGGTCTGAATTAATCCATTTAAAACCCCATACAACTCTAAGATTACCCACAAACATCACAAATTTAGGTGGCTCCTCCATTCCTGATTTTGTTACACCAAAAAATAAAACTAAATATGGTGGAAGAGTCATTAACCCAACCCAAGAAAGTATAACTGATATGTCCTCTTTGCTCGGTTCCAGGTTTCCACCCTGACTGTGATCACTTACGTGGGGCTGAGCCTCTCTCTGCTGTGCCTCCTCCTGGCGGCCCTCACCTTCCTGCTGTGCAAAGCCATCCAGAACACCAGCACCTCAGTCCACCTGCATCTCTCACTCTGCCTCTTCCTGGCCAACCTGCTCTTCCTCACGGCCATCGACAAAACTGAGCCTGAGGTACTGACACTGTCCCAAAGGACATCTGTCCTCCCTGTGGGATGTGGAGTTCATGGCGACATGCTGCATTTAACATCTTAGTATAATGGTCTTGTGTTTTAGGAATGTTAGAGGGCTAAGTAGCCAATTTCACAATGACTGACCCAACTAGAAGACACCCCCTTTTTTGACATTTCCTTCATATATATCAAAATTACCCAAAAAAGTATAGGAGAGGTCTTGGGTCCACAGTTCACCTTGACAATCCCACCTAGTGACTCTCACTCCTCCCCAGGTGCTGTGCGCCATCATCCCGGGTGCCTTACACTATCTCTACCTGGCCTCCTTCACCTGGATGCTGCAGGAGGGCCTGCACCTCTTCCTCACCGCACGCAACCTGAAGGTGGTCAACTACTCCACCTTCAGCAAGTTCATGAAGAAGTTGATGCTCCGTGTGGGCTACAGCGTCCCAGCTGTGATTGTGGTTATTTCCGCAGCTTTTAGGCCTAGCCTTTATGGAACACCTGCCCGGTAAATTAAAGTTCCCACTGTCCTCATCTTCTCCACATGACCATGGTCAGCAGAGAACCAATGTAACACTTTAATTTCACTAGAATATGATGGGTATTAAAAAACAGTAGTAAAATACACCTTCCTGGTTCCATGATTGTATTCCTTGAAGTGACTGTTTTTAAGAACTTAAAATTCATTGTTTCAAAAGTTTATTATATAGTATGTTAATAATTATATGTTTATATAATATTAATTGTGCATTATATTCATTACCTATACTTTTATAATAATGAAACATTAACAATCATAAATTAATACATGGTTAAAATAAAAAAGCTGATTTTTATCTTTTAGATTTAATTATTTTATTTATTTATTTTTTTATATATTTTATTGATTTTTTTACAGAGAGGAAGGGAGAGAGACAGAGAGTTAGAAACACCGATGAGAGAGAAACATCAATCAGCTGCCTCCTGCACATCTCCCACTGGGGAGGTGCCCGCAACCCAGGTACATGCCCCTGACCGGAATCGAACCCGGGACCTCTCAGTCCGCAGGCCGACGCTCCATCCACTGAGCCAAACCGGTTTTGGCGATTTAATTATTTTAAATATTAATTATAATTATATTAAAGACTATGTTACATTTAAAACTATTGTACATAATTTTAATCCTATATTACATATCAGTAAATGTATATTAATATAATACTCATTGCATTAATTGAGGGGACTGTTTTTAATATTCTAGGAAGCAAAGTGGAAATGAAGGGATGGCATTGGTTGGTGTAACCTACTTCTCTTCTTAATTTAAAAAAAAATGAGGGAGAGAAAAAAATGGGGAGGGAAGATTATTTAGATGATGAAATTGTGATGACCAGAGCTAAGATTTAGAAATCACTTTGGACATGAAATCTATATTCCCAATATTTTTCATGCATCAGCTCAAGTCCTACTCCCAACAACCCGCTGAGGTAGAATGGTATTATATGAGTTTTGCAAGTGAGGAAATTGAGGTACAGAGATTTCTGACATGGTCCAAATCACACAGATGGTTGGTGGCAGAACTGGGATCAAATACAGACCATCCGGCATTTACAACATACTCCTGTGTTGACATAATTAATGTTCACCAACATCGGAGTAGCCCTGGTCAGATGGCCTTCCTATATAGCTTGCATAAAAGTCAGCAAACTGTAAAGGGCTGCAACTGTGCGGACCATGTACTCTCTGTTGCAATGACTCACCTCTGTCCTTGTAGCACAAGAGCTGCCGTAGACAATATGCAAGAGAATGAGTGCAATTGTGTTCCCGTCAAGGACATTTACAAAATCAGGTGGTGACCCCATTTGACCCACAGGGTGCAGGTTACCAGCATTGTCTTAGTAATGTTGGCTTTGAGTCTTCTGGTGGGTCCAGCTAATTTCATGGTACTCACACCTCCCAACTCATTCACAAGTATCTCACATGGGGTCATTTCCAGTTCTATCATTTCTATCAGTGTGGCCTTGATGTACTATGTTTCCTTAAGCATTAGATGCCAACCTGTGGTCACTGGAGTCTCAGTGTTGTCATGAGGAATAAATTATGTAATGCACATGAGCCCTACCTTAGTATTATTATCAGGTTACTGTCATCATCTTTTTTTACTATCATCTTGCATGTCCCCAATTTTTTCACCTTCTATACGCCTGCTCATCCATTCATATCTCGGAATAAACACAATCAGTTCCCTCAGGGAACCCTTCCCAACTACCTAATCTCCTATACCACCGACTAGGCAAGCTGTCTACTATGTGTTCTCATAGCTCCTCACACTTGACCATAAAACTCATCATCTTGATTGTTTCTATTGTCTAACTCAGGGGTCCTCAAACTACAGTCCGCGGACCACATGCAAATACAAATATTGTATTTTTCCCCTTTTGTTTTTTTACTTCAAAATAAGATATGTGCAATGTGCATAGGAATTTGTTCATAGTGTGTTTTTTTTAACTATAGTCTGGCCCTCCAACGGTCTGAGGGACAGTGAACTGGCCCCCTGTTTGAGGACCCCTGGTCTAATTAGTGACCTTCCCTGAGGACTGAGACCAGACTACCTCCATTGCAGTTGGGTCTCAGGTCAAGCAGAGGTCCTGATACAGAGGAGACACAATATTTGTCCAATAAACCATAACTTAATTTACTTATTGATATTTATCTTTTCATTTAAAATGTATATTTTCTTCTGCCAGCATACCTGACAGACATTTTAAAATAAATTTATCTTTTCAAAAACATTATTATGGCATGATTGATTTATACAATGCTATACATAGTTAAGGTATGTAACCTGATGAGTTTGAACTTAAGTATAGAACCAGGATGAGCACCACCATCAAAGGCATACACAAATTTTCAGTTATGAAAGAGTAATAAGATAAGATCTATTAGCGTATAGGAAATAATTAACAATATTGTATTGTATACTTAAAATTTAGTAAGAGGATAGATCTAAGCTTAAAGGTTCTTATCAAAAAGAAACAATATTAGCAATAGGAGGAAGAAGAAACTATGGGTGGTGAAGGATATGTCTACCAAGTCTTTATCCACAAAGGCAAATAGATTCTTCAGTCTCTTTCCATCTCTCTTTTAGATGCTGGCTCAGCACACAAGAGGGATTTATATGGACCTTCCTTGGCCCTGTCTGCACCATCTTCTCTGTGAGTAAAGGATAACATGAGAGCATGCTTCCTGCCCAGCTGAGGGTCTATCAAAGAGCGGGTGTATAAGGAGGGTTACAGGCAGGATGAGAAATCCTTAAAGTTTGCCCAGGACTGAGGAGGCTTACAAGAGGCAAAATTTCTCTTTTAAAACCAGAATAAAGGGATTTCCTGAGATCTCTCACTTTCAGTGCTAAAATGTGGAGATTGCCATGAAAACTGGGACAAGTTGATCACCCCAGTTACAGGACAAGCATAATAAGCCTGTGTTACTAGATGTTTGGTCCCTTTTTCTATGACTGATATGAAATATGAAAGCGTCTTACCTGCTGAGTTAGGTGTTGGATGAGCCAGGAGGAAGGGGTAAGATGTGGACTATATTCAATATGCCTTGTGGGGTTTCCACAGATTAACTTGGCTTTCATTCTGGATTCTGAAAACCAAGCTCTCCTCACTCAACAGGGATGTGTTCACCCTCCAGAACAGAAGGTGAGAGGGATCAGTGGTGCACACTGCCCCATACAAAGCATGGTCCAGGAGCAATACCCTATGGTTCCAAGCTCCTGGTGTCCTTTCACGGGGATTCTGAGGGGTCAGGAGAGAGGTGCAGCCACCCTCTCTGGAAACCAGCTCAGGTAGTGTGGTTTGCTGCTGAAAGCCAAGTCAAAAATATTTTATTTTATTTCTCCACAACTCCAGCATGAAATTATCTCAGCTACGGAGAAAATTGACTTTGTTCTATTAAACATTAATTACTTCCATTGTCCAAAGAATGTTTACATCTTTATAGAACACTTAGGAAATCACATAACTGTTCCCAGAACCCAGCATGCACATTCATGCCCACACCTTTGTGGATGCTCTCCCTCTCCACTCCTACACCTGATAAAATTAGGTACTTTATCCACATATCGTACCTTACAAAAGGCTAGGGATGCCCTTTGCTTTCCTAAACTTTGCACAGAATGTATGGTCTCTATTCTGGCCAAACCATGCTTGGGGTCAATTCATGGAAAGTGAGAAGATAGGAACACTACTGGATGGGACCCGGGCAGAGGTACCTCACAGGTAACAAAGTAAGCATTGGTTTTAGTCTTTCCATGAGGCTGTCAAGTCTGTGAAAACAGAAATTTTGTCTTTGTTATTTCTGTTGCCCAGGATTCAGCAGAGTCCTCAGTAATCTCAGTTGATTGAATTAGGGACACTCATGATACGTCATGATCTTTTTGAAATCCACATTTGGGAATGTCACTACCCCCCTCAGTACAAGTCAAATTTCCTTCCTGAACCCCAAATAGCATTTTTTAGGGAACCATTAAGAATGAAGATCAAAGTTGATCACAACTCAATCATATGCATCCATGAAGTGGGAATCAGAATGACCTTAACTCTGTTGTTCTGGGGGCCCCATGGGCCTCTCTTCTCCTCCTACCAAGGATGCTGACATTTAAAGTGATGGCTCACTTCATCATCTTGGGCTGCACATGGTGTCTGGGAATCGTGCAGGTGGGTCCAGCTGCTCTCACCATGTCCTATCTCTTCACCACCATCAACAGCCTGCAGGGCGTCTTCATGTTCCTGGTGTACTGTCTCCTCAGCCAGCAGGTACCACTGTCCACCTCCCAACCAGGACTCTTTCCACTCTCACTCCTCTCAGTGAGCTGACTCAGAGCATGCTTTGCCTCTGCAGGTCCGAGAGCAATACAGGAAATGCTGGAAGGGGGTTAGGAAAACCAAAGTTGACTCTGAGAAGTACACACTCTCCAGCATAGCCATGTCAGATGCCCCTAAACACATGGTAAGATCATGTATTGCTCCCAGAGCACTTCACCAAATGATCCTATTGAGCTTTCAGGCCTATCACTAGACAACTCAGGTATATAGCAGGAAATGCTACTTTTACTCACTGCGTTTCTATGCTCATCTGGACCCTTGTACTTAACAACCTTCTAATACCCCACACATGTGGTTATTATTTACTTGTTTATTTTCTTTGTGGAAATATCTAGTCAAATCCTTTGCCAATATTTTATTGAGTCATTTGTCTTTCATTGGTAAGTTGTAAGAATGCTATATATGTCTGCATACAAGTCCCTTGCCAAATACATGATTCTCAATTATTATCTCCCATTTGACTTTTAGTCTCTTGATAGTGTCCATTGACACACAAAAATTGTACATTTTGATGAAGTCAAATTTATCTATTTTTTAATTCACTTATACTTTGAGTGTCATATCTAAAAGAAAATTGCTTAACACAAGGTCAAAAGATTTACACATTTGTTTTCTTTCAAGACTTTTATAGGTTTAGTTATTACATTTAGGCATACGATTTATTTTGAATTTTTTAAATGGTGTGAGGTTTTTAATATGATGTTAGGTGCACATTCTTTTACATGTGGACATTCAGTTTTCCCATCACCATTTATTGAAAAGATTGTTTTTTCCTCCAATGAATTGCCTTGACATCTTGTCAAAATTAATTCACCAAAATATAAGCGTTTGCTTCTGGACCCTTGATTCTCTTCCATCATCTATCTTGATTACTGTAGTTTTGGAGCAAGTTTGAAATTGGCAAATTGACTCTACAGATTTGTTCTTGTTTTTTTAAGATTGTTTCAGCTAGTCTGTGACCCTTGAAGTCACACATGAATTTTAAAAAGAGCTTGTCAATTTCTGGAAAATATTTAACTGAGATATTAATTAGGCTTGTGTTGAATTTGTAGATCAATTTGGCGGGGGGATCGGGGGAGCAGATTGCCATCATAACTATATTGAGCCTTCTGATTCATGAACATGAGTTGTTTTTCCATTTTTTCAGGGTGTTTTTTTTATACTTCTTTTGACAATGTTTTATAATTTTCACTGTACAAGTGTTACACTTTCTAACACAGTACCATTTGAAGAGTTTCCCTTTTAGGAAGAATTATAATGAATAGCTAAAGTAGAAGATCTTGACTCCTGGAAAATGAGAAAAATTATGAACTGTCATTCTTTGGGCAAAAAGTCTAGAAAATACTTTTTTGTGTTGTTTCAAGTAATTCTTCATGGACCATTGTGGGAGAGAGTATACAGAAAATGTTTGACATTCAGCTGCTGGAGATTTGGGGTTTTCTGGTCCCACAGCATGCTCAGCTCACTCCCAGAATATTCACAAAACTGACCCAATGCCTCAGTTGCCTTGGAGTAAGCCCTCTGTTTCAACCACTTTTCTACAAAGATGTTCTTCAAGTTGAAGATATTTAGTAAGAAAAACTCAAATGGCTTTCTTAAAATAGCATACGAGAGGAAAGTAATGTTCAAATACCTGCAAATAGGGTAAACAACGAATTCCAGTTTCCCAAGGGTTTCCTGTTTTTAATGCTAAAAGTCCTGCATTCCAAGAAGCACTTCAGCTACAGGCAACTAGGGCAATTAGTCTCCCAACCTACATGTCTCAATTTCCTCACTCTTTATTTCTAAAGACTTACCAATTTATTCACTCAAAAATTATATTTTTATTAATCACTGTGTGCTGCATTCAGATCACAACAGATCTGATTCCTAATTACACAGAGCTTAAATGAAAAAAAGTTTCCTCAGTTAGAGTAAAATCAGAACTCTATGATTAGAATATCTACGTCTTTGGATTTTATAATGTAGTCTGTGGTAAATGGTGTATATTGCTATTGGTCCTTTTTTGTAACATGTATTTATGCAAACCATATCATTCATCCTCAGAATGTGATCTAGGCAAGATCTAAATCTAGAGCAGTTACACCTAAAAGAAATTCCCTGTGGGCCCCTCCTGCCCAAATCTGTATCAATTGAACAGCAAGGAAAATGACTGTAAATGATTACAACTTATTAAATAAAAATCCATGAGTTTATAGTGATACCTAAAATATCAACTGAAAAATAAATAAATCATGATTTTTTTTTCAATATCCCATATGGCCACTAAAAGCATAGAGCATTTAACCAACCAATTGGCCTAGACCAGCCGTGGGCAAACTACAGCCCGTTTGAAATGAATAAAACTAAAAAAACAAAAGACCGTACCCTTTTATGTAATGATGTTTACTTTGAATTTATATTAGTTCACACAAACACTCCATCCATGCTTTTGTTCCAGCCCTCCGGTCCAGTTTAAGAACCCATTTTGGCCCTCGAGTCAAAAAGTTTGCCCACCCCTGGCTTAGACTCTTCGAAGTTATTATCATTTTAAACATGCAATATACAGATGAGGTATCATACAAATGTACACTTAAAACCTATATAATTATATTAATTAATGTCACCCCAACAAATTTAATTTTTAAAAGTAGCCAGAGGCTGATCTAGATTAAAAGAGACAAAAACAATATAAAATCAAATTCAATGTCAATTTCGGTGAGACTCTGGTTCAGATATCTACACTAATAAAAGACAAAGATGCTAATTGACTGTACCTTCACTACGATCACCAGCCAATCAGAAGAGTATGCAAATTAACACAACAAAGATGGCCATTAAATTTGCATACTGCAGCCAGATCCTGCTACGTCGCACTGCGCAGCGGCAGCGCGATCCCCAGCCGCCGCCTGCCCCAGCGCAGTATCCGGGCCTGCCGTGTGTGGCCTGGCGTTGGGGGGGTGGGGAGGCTGGCAGAAGCGAGATCCCAAACCGCTGCCTGCCCCAGCGCAGGATCCAGGCCTGCTGCATGCGGCCCAGGGTGGGCGGCAGCACAATCCTGAGCCACCACCCACCCCAGCTCAGGATCCAGGCCTGCAGTGTGTGGGGCAGGGCTGGTGGGGAGGGCGGCCACGCGATTCCGATCGCTGCCTGTCCCAGCGCGGGATCCAGGCCTGCCGTGTGCAACCGGGGAAGACGGGGCAGGAACCGCAGGATTGGGCGTGCCATCTGCCACCAGGGGAGAGGGCCTAAGCCAGCAGGTGGTTATCTCCCGAAGGGTCCCAGACTGTGAGAGGACATAGGTTGGACTGAGACACCCCCCCATGCAGGTGCACAAATTTTTGTGCACCAGGCTTCTAGTATAGTTATAAATTATATTTTGGAGGCCATTGAAATAATTTTAATATGTATTAGACATTAGGAATTATTAAATTGTTGTTAATTTTCTTTTATATAATAATATTATTGTGGTTACATGAGAATATTATTTAAATGTTCCAATATTTGTTAAAAAATTATTAAAAGTGTCATGATGTCACCCAATGAGTATAAATGTTTTAGCAAGAAAATATACACATGTATATAAATTGAGAAAAGTTTTAATGTGGCAATATGTTGATAATTGTGTAATCTAGATCAGTGGTTCACAACTTTCCTAATGCTGCAACACTTTAATACAGTTCCTCATGTTGTGGTAACCTCCAATTTCATTGTTACAAAGTGAACATAATTAAAGCATAGTGATTAATCACAAAAACAATATGTAATTATATATGTGTTTTCCGATGGTCTTCAGTGACCCCTGTGAAAGGGTCATTCGACCCCCAAAAGGGTCGTGACCCACTGATCTAGATGGAGAAAATATGAGTGTTTATTGTATCACTAGAGTCCCCGTGCACGAAATCCGTGCACTGGGGAGGGGGATGTCTCTCAGCCCAGTCTACACACTCTCCAATCTGGGACCCCTCGAGGGATGTCCGACTGCCTATTTAGGCCTGATCCCTGTGGGACTAAAAGGGCAGTCGGACATCCCTCTCACAATCTGGGACTGCTGACTCCCAACTGCTCACTTGCCTGCCTGCCTGATGGCCCCTAATTTCTTCTGCCTGCCAGCCTGATCACCCCCTAAACACGCCCCTGCCAGCCTAACTTCTCCCCTGCCTCCCCGCTCTTGCCTGCCGCCTGGGTTTCCCATCACCGTCCTTCCCCTTTTGCCTCCCATCATTGTGCCTACATATGCAAATTAACCACCATCTTTGTTGACAGTTAATTTGCATATTGCCCTAATTAGCCAGTGGGAAGCATAGTGGAGGTATGGTTAATTACCCTTTTGTATTTTATTAGATAGGATATACCTCAGTGTCTACTGTGCTACACACATTGTCCAGCATTCAACCAAAAATTATAAGAGAAAAAGCAAGAAAAAGCAATACATGAAGAAATTAACAGAACCAGACTTAGAAATAAACTAACAGACACCAAATCTTAAATAACTATAATTAATATGTAAAAAGCTCTAGAACAGTTCTCACCTAGGGGACAATTTTGTCCCTAGGAACATTTGGCAATTTGTGGAGACATCTTTGGTTATACAGATGATGGGTTCTAACTGGCATGTAGTGAATGAAGACAAGGAATTCTGCTCAATATTGCACAGTGCACAGAACAGCCCCAAAGAATTTATACAGCCTACAACTGTTAATAATACTGAGCTTGAGAAACTCTGTTCTAAACTCCCTTACATTATGCATGTGCTAAAAATAGGTATCTTTCCTTTTACTAATCAAAATAGGAAAGTTTCGGGAAAACCAAGATGGCGGCATAGGTAAATACGGGAGTTTGCTGCCTCGAACAACCATTTCAAAAATACAACTAAAAGACAGAACAGACATCATCCAGAACCACAGGAAAGCTGGCTGAGTGGATGTTCTACAACTAGGAGGAAAGAGAAAAGCATACCGAGGCTCAGAGGAGGCGCAGTGCTGAAGTAAAATACTAAGGTTCGGAGTGCATGTGGAGCGGGCTGGAGGCTGAGGGCGCGGTTGTCGTTTTCAATCGGAAGGGAGTCTCAGGCTCTGAGCTCCAGTTCCAGGTGAGTCTCTAAGGACCCACACTCATACGGGAGAAGCGGGACTGTCTGGCATCGCTCAGAACCCTAGGGCAGCTTTCTCTCCGTGGGGCTTGCAGCGACTACTGGGACACTGAGAAGCAGAGCCTCTGAGGGCAAGACTGAGAGCAGCCATAATTGCTAATCCCGCCCTGTTGATCCCGTGGGACCCGCCCCGCCAAAGCCCTGCAGGGAGGCTTTTGTTGGATAGCCTCAGGCAAAGGCTAGATTAGCACCTCCCTAGAGATCCAGGAGCCAGGAAGCCCAGAGGTCAGAGTGGGACCATCCAGCTTGCAGCTCCGTGGAACCATAAAAGACACACTCAGGAGGCAGACTCAGTGAGCACCAAAGCCCCATCGAAGCAAGTCTAGCCCCAGAGGGGTGTCTACAGCACAGAAGTTCTCCCACCGCAGACACAGCTGATTCTCACAGCCAATTGGCCTGGAGGTCAATTCCTCACAGTGATAACTACAACAATCAAGGCTTAACCACAACAAGACTGTGCACAAAGCCCACAAGGGGGTGCACCAAGAGTGTCTACCTCAGGTAATTGGGACACTTAGCACAGAAAGGCACTCTATCGACACAGCGAAGCATAAAAAAATGCCGAGACAAAGAAACAGGACACAAACGACAGAATTGGAGGAAAGCAAACTGTTGGATATAGAGTTCAAAACCACACTTTTAAGGTCTTTAAAGAACTGTTTAGAAGCCGCCGATAAATTGAGTAAGGCCCTCGAAAAGACTGGTGAGACCGCCGATAAATGTAGTGAGATCCTCAAGAAATCTAATGAGACCCTCGATGTTGTGATAAAGGACCAACTAGAAATTAAGCATACACTGACTGAAATAAAGAATATTATACAGACTCCC